ATGAGGTAGCTGGGAAGCGAGCCTCTGGAGAGGATATCAGCGGGATTCAACAATGTGGGAACATAGCGCCATTCCATGCCTTGCGTCAACTCCTGAATTGTTGCCACTCGACTTGCCACGTCTAACGCCGTAGACGAATCCGACCAGCAGTAAAACTGACCTGGGAAAATTCCCGTCTCCTTTAAGTTGCGCATAACCTTCGCAAGCAAATGGGCTCCACTCAATTCCAGCTTTGGAATCGACAATGATTTTAGTGGCGCCAATCGAGACTTTGAGCACAAAACATTGCTCGACGACTCCCTTTACCTGGACACGACATATATGCAAGCACCATATGCTTCCATGCTGGCATCACAAAATCCATGAACCTCTACAATTGTGCTGGAATGATGGACAACGCGAGGAAAGGAAATGCGAGAGATGCTTGCCAAACTGTTTCTCAGGTCAATCCAAGTTGAGTGCAGCGCTGTCGGTAGGCTTTCATCCCAATCCAAATGTTCTCTCCAAAGCTGCTGAAGAAAGATCTTGCACCTGACAATAACAGGATTAATCAATCCAAGAGGGTCGTAGAAACGCGCAATAGTTGACAAAACCGACCACTTGGAGGGCCTTGAATTCGTGTCCAGCGCGGACAAGGCAAACAGCAGCTGATCCGACGCAGGATCCCAAGCTAAACCAAGAGTTTTGGTAATGTCGCTTCCATCATGAAACCGTAGAAATTTCTCCACGTCGTCCTCCGGAATTCCATCAAGCACCTCCTGGTTACTTGAGCACCATTTTCTAAGCTTAAAGTTACCGCAAGACAGTAGACTTGAAGTTTGGCGCATCTTTTCCATGACCTCTGCGACCGAGTTGCCGCCAGAGATGAGATCATCAACATAGAACTCCTGTTGCAGAGCAGCTGAGCCAAGAGGGTAGGGATTACCCTCGTCAATGGCCAGCTGGTGCATTGCGCGGTACGCTAAAAACGATGCAGCCCTCGTACCGTATGTGACGGTGTCTAATGTGTAGACCTGAACCTCGGTATACTCTTTCATAAAAGCTGAGTAACGCTCCTTGAGCGCGGGATTACGATCCAGTTTTCGCTCCAACCTGAGAAATCGTCGATACGCCTGAGTATAGGACTCTCCCAAGTGATCAGCATCATGCTTTAAAGGCAGTCGAACGGAGTACTCCCCTGATGGCAAACGTGAAAAGTGGCTTACGAAATGCGCCTCACAATCTACTTCTTCCTTTGTACTCAAGCTAGCCTCCACACAATTCTCAACTTCCCAAAATATACGAAGAGTTCGATCCAACCTTGCATTCATTCTATCCTCCGAATCCGGAGAATTTTGGGTTGCCAAAAGCGACGAGCTTGATACCCTCTGTCCACCACCAGACACGATCCACCCAAGCCGGGTCTTCTGCAGAAGAGGCAATCCATCTATGAGCTTGATTTGCCCTACGCAGAGAAGGTCATAGAATATGCTCGCGCCAATGAGGAGATCTACTCGCTGAGGATTAAAGAATGCAGGATCGGCAAGCTGAATATTGGAGGGAATGTTCCAATCGGCTACTGTTCGGAGCAGCAGCCGATAATAGTTCTTCTTAATATCATATAGTCATACATCATCTCTTATACTGCTTATACTTGTCGCTCTCTCAGTACGCTCCCGTACACACGCACATATGCTAGTACTGCTTATAGTGCATTGCTTCGCCCTGTTCTCGGTTCAGTCCAAAGATTCGTCGAACGCATCGCATCGAGTCGTAGTTCACGGCCACGGCCTCAAACCATTTGTAACCCGTCGTGAAAATAAAAACCATTTGTAAACTTAACCAACGGAGTAAATTATTGTAAATGTGAAGTCAGAGTTGCCGAAAAAGCTCGGCAGCTTCCAACATTTTGGTGACCCCGACGTGATTGCCGTGGACTTACAGTGCGTTGAAAGTGTTTAAACCATTCAATCAATCCAAATTTGAAGGTTTAACGTGACATTTGTGAAAAAGTAGCGAACCAAAAGTCGTTGTGACCGACCTTAGCAGTTCTAGCGGCCCGCTATTCGTTTTCGTATTCTCTTTCACCGTCTGCTTCAGCCTGCGCAACGCACTGTCGAGACTGGCTGCATAGAGTTCTAAGCGTGGTCCGTTAGTTTTCTTCGCCTCCTCTTTGGTCGTTTGCTTCAGCCAGGTCTTGTGAGAGGCTGCAGTAATAACTCTCTGAAATTCGAACTCGAAAGCAGAGTACATCTCCCTTTGCATATTTGTTGGTTTTCCGTCGTCGCTTCGTTGCTTTTACCGGTGCATACCTATCGCATATATAAGTGCCAAAAAAGTGAACGCAAAGGTGTTTGAACTCGTTTTGAACTCGTTTGAACTCGCGCGTTGCGTAATAATATTTAATTGTGATCGACTAGCACCCTCCGCGTCAACCGTTTTCTATAACCAAAACCATGGGCAAGAAAAAGAATAGCAGAAAGAGTGGATCGTTTGCTATGGACAATGAAAGTGATTCTGTGACATTTGGCGCTGCGCCATCGGGCGAAAGTTTTAGTGCGAATGCAGCCAGCACCCAAGTCCCTGTTCCGGTATCTCGTATTTCCTTCATGAGACTGAAGGCTAGAGCTATTTTCGATCGGCTAGAGTCCATACGCACAGAGATGGATAGTGAAAAGTTGCGTCAAATGGATGAATACGACTTGCGAGGGCTGTTGGAATCATTGACGGAGCTTAAGTCAAATTTTGTTGTGGCACACCCCAGTTTGGAGGATTTGGATTTCGAGTCAATGTCCAGTGAAATTCCTGCCAAATTCGACTCGTCGATATTGTCGTTGAGGACCATTCTTCAGCGCGAGCTTGGAAGTCGCTCGAGCAATAAGCATTGTTCCACATTCAACGCCAACTCTAGTGAATCGCAGTCAATCGTCATAATGTCTAATCGATCTCGGTTACCTCATCTGGAGCTGCCCAAATTCAGTGGAATTTATACGGAGTGGGCCAATTTCTTCTCAATGTTCACAGCGATTATTGACAAGGAGTCTGAGCTGAGCCCTATCGAAAAGCTGCAGCATCTACGTTCCTGCTTGAGTGGCGCAGCCCTGAATACCATCAGCTCGTTGGAAATAAATGAAGCTAATTATATCATAGCATTAGACATTCTGAAGCTACGCTTTGATAATAAACGTTTTATTTTGCAGGCACACATCAGAGGGATATTTGGGTTGTTGAAGGCTGACGCATCGGTGGGCAGATTGAGGGAATTGACCGAGAGAGTTACATCGCATATTCGTGCTATGGAGTCGCTTGCAAGCAAGGAAGAAGTGGCGGATTGCATTATCGTGCAGACTGTTCTTCAGAAGCTGGACAAAGCCTCTCAAAATAGATGGGAGGAGTCTTCGTCGAATCAAGAGCTGCCTTCTTGGGAGAAACTGTCTGGATTCTTGGAAAAAAGATGTCGCACGCTTGAAAATGTGGATCAAGGACAAGGACAAGATGGTCAGGTTGGCAAGTCCGGAAAAACCGTGAGTACGCATCAAAGAAAGACATTTGTAGCATCGAACGCTCCAGTTTCTTGTGAACTGTGCGAGAGTACTCATCACATGATTGCCAATTGTCAACGGTTTGCAATTCTATCGCCGAATGATCGTCGCCTGGAAGCCAAGAGGCTCTTGCTATGCCTAAATTGCCTACGAAAAGGCCATCAATTGAGAGATTGTAGATCAGGTCCCTGCCGCACTTGCCGATCGAAGCACCACACTCTTTTGCATTTCATTCGTCCAACAGAGGCTGCCCAATCTGTTCCTCCAATTGAAGCCTCACCAGCACAACCAAGTCGTAACGCCATGGTTGCAGTATCGCCCTCCTTGCCTCAAGCCTTTATGTCCCACAGTCCATCTGATGCTGTGCTTTTAGCCACTGCCGTCGTTCTTGTAAAAAACAGCGTTGGAACTTTCGTACCCTGTCGCGCATTTTTGGATTCGGGATCGCAATTGCATTTCATAACTAGTCGTCTAGCTAATCAGCTAAAACTTCGAACAACCAAATCGCTTACCGCTGTCTCTGGCATAGGAGATGCTAGCTTCCCAACAGAAGGTATCTCGGTGGATCTCGTTCTGAAATCGCGGATTTCAGAGTTCACCACTAGCATCACTGCCGTCGTTGCCCAGAAGATCACGGACCATCAACCTAGCATCACAGTTAGCACTGCTAGTTGGCCTATACCGTCGAATATCCAGCTTGCTGACCCTTCGTTCCATAAGCCACAGCGGATTGACCTGCTCATCGGAGCCGGACTTTTCTTCGAGTTGCTGTGTGTGGGGCAAATTCAGCTGGCGCCTGGACTACCGTTGCTGCAGAAGACACATCTAGGATGGATTCTTTCTGGTGGCGGGCACTCGGCCCTCAATAACTCGTCGTTCATCGCAACCCAATCTTCGGATGACATCAATCACAGCACTCGGCTCGATGAGTTGGTTCGTCAATTTTGGGAAGTGGAGCACATCTTTGAGCCAATCGTTAGGGCAACAAAGGAGGAGCTGCACTGCGAGGACCACTTTGTCAAACATCACACTCGATTACCCTCAGGAGAATATTCTGTTAGCTTGCCCATGAAGCGAAGTCTGGAGTCCTTGGGCGATTCCTACTTGCAAGCAAAGCGGCGGTTGGAAAATTTGGAGCGCAAGTTCGTGCGTAATCCAGTTTTATATTCGAAATATTCGGCATTTATGAAGGAGTACCTGTCCCTTGATCATATGTCTCTGGTTCCAAATTAAGATAGACACAAGTGCAGATATTTCTTGCCGCATCATTGCGTCATTAAAGAGGATAGCTCCACGACAAAGCTGAGAGTCGTATTCGACGGCTCTGCAGTTACCACATCTGGTCTCTCGTTGAATGATCTGCTTATGTCAGGTCCCACCATTCAATCCAAGCTGTTTCACACTCTCCTTCGATTTCGTACATTTTCCATTGCTCTTACAGGCGATATCGGTAAGATGTATAGGTGCGTGCGTGTCTCAATGCCCGACACCATGCTCCAATGCATCTTGTGCAGGGACTCTGTTGACGACGATATAAAGATCTTCAAGCTAAACACCGTCACCTATGGGACTAAGCCTGCATCGTTTTTAGCTATTCGAGCTATGCATCAGCTGGCCATGGATGAGTCGTCTTCGTATCCATTGGGTTCGGAAACCATTCTACAGGACTTCTACGTAGACGATATGATTTCTGGAGGAAATTCAGTCGAGGAAGTGCTGGATATTATGCGTCAAACCACGGAGCTTCTTGCTTGTGGCAATTTTCAGTTAAGGAAATGGTGTTCAAACTCTCCTGATGTTCTTCGTGAAGTCCCTGAGGCAGAAAGGGAAAGTTTTCTGAAGCTCGATGATGGCAGCGATGTGACCAAGGCGCTTGGACTCATCTGGGAACCCCAGAGGGACAAGTTCCTGTTTACTTTTGCACCTCAAATCGGTGTTGGCAAGCACACCAAGCGTTCGGTGTTGTCAACCATTGCACGGTGCTATGATCCTATGGGATTGATTGGACCCACATTGACCAGAGCGAAAATCATCATGCAGCGCATGTGGAGAGACAAGCTGCATTGGGATGAAAGTCTTCCTCAGCCACTGGAATCGGCTTGGACTGAGTTTTGCAAGGACTTCGCTACTGTGGGTAACGCTACATTTCCGCGTTATATACTTCAACCTAAGGCAAGGTTTGAGTTGCATGCCTTTTGTGATGCCAGCCTCCAGGCCTATGGGGCTTGTATCTACGCTCGTTCGTTTAGGGATACCGCCGATGAGGTACATTTGCTTTGCTCGAAGGCTAGAGTTGCACCATTGAAAACCCTCACGGTGCCTAAGCTTGAGCTATGTGCAGCGTTCCTGTTAGCCAATTTACTTCGCGAAATTAGGAAAATCGATACCTTCGACTGCCCGATCCATTGCTGGTCGGATTCAACTGTGGTACTGTCTTAGTTGCGAGAGGAACCATCCAAATTCAACGTGTTTGTGTCTAACAAGATTTCCGCAATACAGCAACTTACGAGGGGCATGGATTGGCGCTATGTACCAACTGAAATGAACCCGGCTGACATTCTTTCAAAGGGAGCAGCGCCTCAGGAGCTCTTGCAGTCTAGGTTGTGGATGAATGGACCTTCTTTCTTGCAAGGCGAAAGAAGTAACTGGCCTGAACGTTGTTCGCCCGAACTCAGTCTTCCGGAAATTAGGCATCGAGTATTGCTGTCGTCTGAGCGTGTCGACATCTCGCTTTCGTTTAAGCAAATTAACTCATTCGGAGTCATGATGCGCATTTTCGGATATGTTCATAAGTTCGTCAGCAAGAAAAGGTCACTTGATCTCTCGTCTGAAGACCTTCGCAAAGGATCGCACTTGTTGTGTCGCATCGTTCAACGCGCCCACCTTCATCCCGAGTACCGTGCTCTGCGGAAGGGGAACTGTGTGGAGTCCTCCAGCAGCATTATATCTCTCTCGCCTTTCATAGATGACGCCACCCAATAATTTTGCCCAGGGATCATCCATTGACGTTCGCCATCATCATGCACTTTCATCGGAAGCATCACCATGCTGGGCCGCAGTATCTACTGGGATCTATTCGCTTGCAGTTCTGGCCCATCGGCGGCATGAAAACTGTTGCTCGAGCGTTGCGGAAATGCATCATCTGCTGCAGGTCCAGACCTCGTCTTGTGGAACACATAATGGCTGACCTACCGAAGGATCGAGTGCAGGATTCGCCTGCATTCAGCGTCACTGGAATCGATTACTGTGGTCCCTTCTATTACAAGCCAGATGGCCGCACTCGAACGCCTACAAAATGCTACATCAGCGTCTTCATCTGTTTTGCAACAAAGGCCGTTTGGTTGGAATTAGTGAAGGACCTCACAACTGCTGGATTTTTGAGTGCCCTCAAACGCTTCGTTGCCACGCGCGGCATACCCCGATGCATTTGGTCGGACAATGCCACCAATTTTGTGGGCGCAAGGAACGAGTTGGAGAACCTTCGGCGGCTGTTTATGAGCGAGAAGCATCGTGATGCAGTTCATAATCATTGCATCAACAATGGCTTCAATTGGAAGTTTATCCCGCCTCGCTCACCCCACTTCGGGGGCTTGTGGGAGGCAGCAGTGAAGATGGCCAAGCAGCATTTATATCGCTCCCTGGGATCGTCACTCTTTGGTTTTGACGAGCTGCGGACATTGGTCTGCCAAATCCAGGCTGTAATAAATTCTCGTCCTCTTCTCGCAATTTCAGAAAACCCTGAAGATCTTGGCGTCCTTACACCAGGACATTTTCTAATTGGTCGTCCGCTGATGGAGTTTCCCGAGCCAGATGTTACAAATCTGAACTTTAACAGACTAGATTGCTGGTAAAGAGTCGCCTGTGCTCAGCAGATCTTTTGGAAGCGTTGGAGTGAGGAGTATTTGACTCTGCTACAACAACGTGCCAAATGGCGCACACCGCAGCCATCGATCCAAGTCAACGACATCGTCTGTATAAAGGACGAAAACTTGCCGCCGTTGAAGTGGCCATTAGCACGGGTGATCGACATCATCGCTGGAGCTGATGGCACTGTGCGAGTTGCCGTCCTGAGAACACCGTCTGGAACCACTCGTCGAGCTGTCAATAAGCTCTGCGTCCTACCCGTTGAGGATCCTGTTAAAAGCCCTGGTCTTTCAACGGGGGGGAGTATGTTCGGAGCAGCAGCCGTTAATAGTTCTTAAGAAATTAATATCACATAGTCACACATCATCATCATCTTATACTCTCTCAGTACGTTCCCGTACCCACACACATGTCATTACTGCTTGTAGTGCATAGCTTCGCCCTGTTCTCGTATCAGTCCAAAATATTTGTCGAACGCATCGAATCGTAGTTCACGGCCATGGCCTCAACCCCTTATAACCCGTCGAGAAATAAAAAACCTTTGTAAACTTTACTAACGGATTAAATTATTTGTAAATGTGGAGTCAGAGTTGCCGAAAAAGCTCGGCAGCTTCCAACAGTATCCTTAATGTCACTGGCGGCAAAATACTCAAAACCAATATTAGCAGCTAATAAACTTCCCAGCAGCAGTCGTGCTTCTAGGCACATTGAAGTGCTGCTACGCGATAAAAGAAGGCTTTGGCGAGAGTGGCAAGCCAACAGATCACCTGCCTCGAAAGAGCGGCTAAAAATAGCCTACCATCTACTAAGCAGAGCCATAAAATATGAAAGAACCCGTGCTCACATATCCTATATGGACCATTTCTCTCCAACTAGAAAACGATTCCCACTGTGGAAAGATAAATCAGGCGTATGCCTGCAGCAACAAAGAAAAGGCAAATACATTTTCCGTCCATCTAGAAAACGTCTTCAAACCACACCCAGCAACAAATAACTTTCTGCTCCCACCAACCAAAAATCCCGAAGCAACATTATCCAATCAGGAGAACCCACAAGGTCATTAAAGACCAAATCTCAAAGCAAAGGAAAGCTCCGGGCCACGATTTCATCTCCCCTAAAATGATCATAGAATTGCCGAGCAGTGCAGTATATTTCCTTGCTGTGAAGAATCGGGGCTATTATGCTCAAGAATGGAGGAAATCAGTCATCACAATAATCCATTAAGCCGGAAAAGACAAGTTCATGTAGACCTATCAGTCTAATGCGTTCCCTTTAAAAAAAGCATGTGTTTCGTCATGTCGTCGTCTTAGTCAATGTTTTATGTTAAGATTATTTTTGAATTGTTTTGAAGTCTAGTGTAAGTAGGCTAGGGCAAGGCGGGAGCGCAATAAAAGCTCGCTCTTTCGCTCAAGGCGAATTCGCCCCGCTTTGCCACCGTAGGTTAGTTAGGCATAGAATGAAGTGTAATGAATTTTTAGAATAGAATCGTTGAAATTGAATTCGATCGAGCGCACCTACATTATTTCGTCCCCGCTTTTAATAAATCTTTACGCCACCCAAGTATTTCGGTTTCGTTAATTAGAAAAACTATTCTAAATTTTCATGGCGCCCCGGGTGGACGTAAAGAATAAATAAAAAGGCAACAAAGAAAAGTGACAGTGACACAGTGTAAAAACAGTGTAACAAAAATACGCCAACATTAGTTATAAATAATATAACTAATTAATTCTATATTATAGAATAAAAAGTATTGTATAGTTGCCCGCGTCGTGTGTGTATCAAATAACAAAAGACTTGCCAAATCCATCGTGTCGGCCGCGCAATACCCTCACCGCCTGTTGCTGATCGTGGCTGCTACCCTGCCGCCATACCTGCTGCTTCACCGTTGCTGCTACCCTGCCTATACTTGCTGTTTCACCGCCATACCTGCTGCTTCCCAAACAGACCCCGTAGCTGCAACCTAGAAGACCTATGGCCCCTTAAGATTGCACGGACTGCAAGAGGAAAGTGGCAGCTGGACTTAAAGATCCGAACGCAGAGCCTGAGGTATTTGTGCAAAAAATTGAAAGCTAGAGCCGAAGACATACATAAATACATATATAAATTGTCTTGTGCTGGAAAAATTGCACCTCGCTTTCAATTCTTGGCACAGCCGTATGATATAGTAGAGTTTGATTTGCATGCATTTAATTTATTAGTGCACATCCATACATATATAACACCATATAACACATATGTACAAAAACCATACCATATTCTATTTGAACCGCTATTTGGACGCACAATTATATATATATCGTTTACCGCAATCACTGTCGCCCCCCCCCTTTCCCCTCTCGTTGTGTGAAATTCGACAAAAAGTTGGTTCGTTAACCCAAGCCGCGGTGTATAACACTTACTTCCATACATACATACATACATACAAGCAGCTGCACCGGTGCATTCTTTTCGTCTCTCGCTTTCGCTTATCCACCGTTGCTTGCTGTGTATTTGGTGGGAGAATTCCGTTGCCGCGCTTGATCAAAACGGAGTGCCAAGTGACGCGCTACCCTGTTTTTCAAGGGGATTATTGTTTTTCTTGTCACTTCGCAAGTGACGCGCTACCCTGCATTCTTAGGGTATATTGTTTTGGCTCTCAGTTGGAAAGTGACGCGCTACCCTACATTCTTAGGGTATATTTCTTTCGGCTCTCACTTGGAAAATTACGCGCTACCCTACAGTGTGAGGGTATATCGTTTTGGCTGTCACTTGCAACCAACTATACACCTCGTGCCTCGACATTCAATTATTGTCGTTCTCGATTTTCGTTCTTGTTCGAACATTTATTATTTCTTTATCTACAAAAATATTGGTTTTCGTCGCGTAGATTATAAATAGTAAAATGGCACAAGAAAATAAGTCTGTTCTCGATGACTTAAAAAGTAAGCTCAGAAACCGAGTCAAAAGCATTCGCCGCTTAGAGGATCGTTTAGAGGGTCGATTCCATTGCAATTGACAGAGCTACAATGCAGACTCGACGTTCTGAATTCTGCTATGTATTAACAAGGCCCACCTATTGCAGGAGCAAATGGAAGAAATTGATAGCAAAGATGAATTTGGAGCCGAGCTGGAAGAAATGGCCATTGTAACCAAGGCAAAGTTGTCGCTTATCGTGCCTGCGCCCCCCCCGTCCTCCCCAACTCGTGCTCTCCTGCTCCAATGGGTATTCGTTTTTTATTAGCCTTTTTGGCTCTGTCATATGGTTCCGGTGTGAAAATTTAATCTTTACGGCCCCTAAAGCTTAGGAACAATAAAGGCGTTCCAAGTCACCGAGGCCAATTATGCAAAGGCCATGGACAGCCTAAAGCGAGTATATGACAACGAATGTCTAATATTCTCGAACCAAATCTCCGCACTGTTTAATCTGCCAAAAATCTCGCAACAGTCCGCATCGTCCCTAAGAAGCCTCATCGATACAGTGTCATCGATCTATGGGTCATTATTATCGATAGGAGACGATACGAAGATTTCGAATGCAATGCTCATTCATCTCGTTTTGAACAGAGTCGACCCAGTGACTAGACAGAAGTGGGAAGAACAGCTTGACTTCGAAAAGTTGCCGCTTTGGTCCGACTTTGAAAAAGTTTTAAATCGTCGATACCAGCATTTGTCTGCGGAAGAGTCGACAAAGCCAAGGCAAGAAAAAGTCATGCCAAGCAAGTCGCACAATCGCAGTTCATTTGCTTGTTCTTCCACTCCCCCCAACAGTAGAGCTCAGCGAACATGCAGCTATTGCAATTCGGGAGACCATGTAGTGGCCAACTGCACGCCATTTTCACGTCTCTCGGTTATGCAAAGGTTCGAGTTCACAAAGTCTGCGTCCTTATGTATAAATTGTCTGCAAAAGGGTCACACTGTTGTAAGATGCAAGGTCGCCAAATGTCGAGTTTGTGGCCGCTCACATCACACATTGTTGCATCGATACACAGTGACTGATAATAGTCTCGCGTTGCCGCCACCCCCAGAGAGTTCGTCTCCTCCTTTAAATCAGGACCACCCTTCCACCTCTCATGCTCTGCATGCGACTTCGTTGGACAGGGTGATTTTGGCTACGTCGATCGTAAGTGTCAGAGCAAAAAATGGTGAACACATTTTGGCCAGAGCTCTCCTTGACTCTGGATCCCAAACAAACTTCATCACGGAAGACCTCGCCCACCGCTTACAGATCCGTAGAGAGGAGTCGTGTACTACCTTGGTTGGTATTGGTGAATCCAATTCTCAAGTAAAGAATAAAATACACACTGTGGTGAAGTCGCGCATAAATGGTAGTGAGTTCTCCTTTGATTTTTGGATCCTGAAATCAATTTCAGGTTATCATCCTGACCAGTCAGTTAATGTAACTGATTGGAAAATCCCAGAGAACCTACCACTGGCAGACCCCTATTTCTACAAGCCACAAAGAATAGACATGCTGATTGGAGCTGAATCATTCTTTGAGTTATTAGCTGTTGGTCAAATCAAGCAAGGTCCTGACTATCCAACTCTTCAAAAGACCCTTCTTGGCTGGGTTGTTTCGGGAAAATATGTTTCCAAAAGTTCTGCCCCCCAAACGGCAAACAGTTTGAGTTGCAGTGAAGAGCTGTTAGTTTCCATTGACAGGACCTTGCAAAAATTCTGGTCACTGGAAGAAATGCCATCTCCAAAGAAAATTATTTCGCCTGAGCAAACGTTATGTGAAAATCACTTTCGGAAGACGACTCAGGTATTGCCATCAGGTCGGTTTGAAGTAAGGCTGCCGTTTAAATCAGATCAAAATTGTTTGGGCAACTCCTTTGAGGTTGCTAAACGGCGGTTTTTGTCGCTCGAAAGAAGATTGTCTCGTGACCCTGAGTTGAAGAAAATGTCCTTGGAATTCATGGAAGAGTACCTCTCCTTAGGTCATATGTCACGGACTGACAATACGGTTCCTTCTACTCCACACTACGTAATTCCACATCTGTGTGTCCTTCGGCCCCAAAGTACGTCCACCAAGCTTCGCGTCGTGTTCGATGCGTCGTCGAAGACGTCCTCTCAGGTGGCCTTGAATGAGATTCTGATGGTCGGACCGACCATTCAAGAGGAATTATACTCAACACTGCTCCGCTTCCGTCTGCACAGGTTCGCCCTGACTGCCGATGTGAAAAAGATGTATCGCCAAGTGATGGTGAATGAAGCGGATAGGCAGTTTCAGATGATAGTGTGGAGAAGAGACCCATCTGAGTCCTTGAGATTATACAAGCTTAACACCGTGACTTATGGGACTGGACCAGCCCCTTTTTTGGCTATCCGGTGTTTAAAAAGGTTGAGTGAGTCTGTGAAG